AAGTGCGCAGAGCGGGAAGGTAAGCTAACGGACGAACAAGTAGGCAAGCAAGCTGGCGCGCAAGACAACGAGCAGCACACGGACGCAGGACAGCAAGCAAACAGACAAGGCGACTCTTGTCACGTCTCTTGTCACGCATGAGTCGTCGGCCCTCGCGTCACGTCTCTGGTCACGTCTCTCGTTACAACCCTCGACACGTCTCTTTTCACACGTCTCTTCTCTCGTCACGTCTCTCCTCATTTTATCTGGCTATGCCTCTTCTTTGTGTATAGTCACATCTTTGGTGGCGTCTCAAGTCACATCTCTGGTCAGGTTCCTCGCAACAGCGCCTCTTGTCACGTCTCTCTTTTTTTCCTAGTCGCGTCTCGTAGTCACGTCTTTGGTCACGTTCTTTGTCGCGTCTCACGTAACGTTTCTTGTCACGTGGCTAGTCACGCTTTCGGTCACGTCCCTTGACAGGTCTCTTGTAACAACTCTGGCCACGTCTCTCGTCGTGGCTTTCATCACATCTTTCATCATCGCATCTTTCATCACGTGTCTCGACGCGCCTTGTCGCGACTATGTAGCATCTCCCGTCGCGTCTTTCTTGGAGACGTCTCCTGTCACGTGTGTCGTCGCCTCTCGCGTCACGTCTCTGGTCACGTTTCTGGTCACGACTCGCCGCGTCTCTTCTCACACGTCTCTTGTCATATTTCTCTCTCGTCACGTCTCTGGTCACGCCTTCTCGCGTCTCGTCGCGACTCTCCTTGCACGTCTCTTGTCACATCCAGATCACACCCATCGTCGCGCGACTGCGCAGCTCGCTCATTTTGGCGGGCTGCGCAGAAGGAAGCGGGGCAAAGGGAGGTTTTTGAAGGAAGAGATAGAGGTCTGGTCGCGTCCACCTCGAACGGCTCGGCTTGGCCCAGCAGTGAGAGAGCGCGGTGTCAGCGCATGGCAGTTGCCAGTGGCATGTAATCAGCTTGCTGTGTCTGACCTAGTTTTCGCAATGCTTGAGAAGCGTTCAACTGTGTTTTCTAGTTGTGTAGTTTTTTAGTTGTGTACTTTGTTTGGTGAGCACCTGCGCCACTGACACACCAAGAGACTAGTAGGAGGCAAGGATGCCAACAAGACTAGCTGTCTAGTTCGTCCCATCATGCCATTCTTGCGCAAAAGGTTTTGCAAAAGGTTGCAATAGACTTGCAACTGTGCAACGCACATATCTTTCACTTGCGTGCTGAGATGGAAATCTTGACTGCGCAGCCAGGCTCAAACTCTGGGGCTTTGAGAGAGCCTTTACATGCCCCACGGCGAAGCTGACCGACGCACACCGTAGCACTTTGCTCAGGGGTCAGTTTGCAGTTCTTCGGAAACACACTGGCCACTGCTGTGGCTGGATGCAGAGATGTGGACGAAGACCTTGATGTGCTTGAAATCTTTACATCTAGAGGTCGATAGCACTGGCTGCTGCGGCCAAGAACTACAAAGCAGAAGCTTTTGACATAGAGCATGGAGACGACAGTAGGTCACGTCTTTGGTCAGGTCCTTTGTCACATCTGTCGTAACAACTCTGGCCACATCTCCCGTCATGAGTTTTATTGCATTTTTCATCACGTGTCTCGACCCGCCTCTCATCACAACTACGTACCATCTCCCATCGCTTCTTTCTTGGAGATGCTGTCGCGTGCGTCGTCACCCCTCGCGTCACGTCGCTGGTCACGTCTCTTGTCACGGCCCTCGCCGTCAAACGTCTCTTGTCATATTTGCCGTCCCGTGTCTGATGCTCGTCACGTCTTTTGTCGCCTCCCTCACATCCATCGTCACGCCTCTCGTCGCGTCTTTTGTCACGTCTTTGTTCACGTCCTGTGTCACTCTCAAAATGTGCTCCGCACCACGGCGAAAGCGATTCAACCCAAATTTCACGATGCGATCTCAAAATGCGCGCCGCGCCACAGCGAGATCGATTCGACCCACCCAAAGTGCGCAGAGGGTTCGCTTTCCGAGCTCAAAATGCGCACCGCGCCACAGCTTTGCAATCTCAAAATGCGCACCGCGCCGCAGCAAGAGCGATTCGACCCACCCAAAGCGCGCGCAAAGGGTTCACTTTGCGATCTCAAAATGCGCACCGCGCCACAGCAAGAGCGATTCGACCCACCCAAAGCACGCAGAGGGTTCACTTTGCAGTCTCAAAATGTGAGCCGCGCCACAGCGAGAGCGATTCGACCCACCCAAGGCGCGCAAAGGGTTCACCTCAAAATGCGCACCGCGCCACAGCAAGAGCGATTCAACCCACCCAAAGTCCGCAGAGGGCCCACTTGGCAATCTCCACATGCGCGCCACGCCACAGCGAGAGCAACTCGACCCTTCAAAGTGCTGCGCCTGCCACGAAATCTGCGCGCAAGCTGGAAAGTACTGCGCTTGCCACGAAATCTGCACGAAAAGCCTTAAAAGCTGCGCCTGCCGTGAAATCTGCGCGCAAATCTCTAACGTGCTGCGCCTGTCACGAAAAATTGCGTCACAGCGACATGCAAAACGCTCAAAATGCTGCGCCTGCCACGAAATCGGAAGTCGGAAAACTAGCGCGGGGCTGTAGCGCCACAATGATTTCGACCGAGTTCTTGCAAATCTAAAGTCGTGAAAACGAGCAAGCTGATTGTAGGACAGGGCCAACGAAAACGACGTTCCAGGAAACGCTTGCGCGCGCATTCCAAGCAAAACAACCCCTGAAACGCGAGTCGCAATGGATTTGCAACGCAAACGTGAACCTGACAAAACACTGCGCCTGCAGCAAAGCGACGTCTGACATGCTAAGAGCTACGATTCCCGCACAGGGGCGCGAAAAATGACATCTAAATGACACGTTTTTCGCTTTCCCCACTGGAGCTGCGAGTACGAACGCTTGCGGACGAATGCGAACGCTTCGGGACGTAAATTCAACGACTTCTGGTCACGTCCTAACCGCCTCTAAACGGGAACCCTTCTGCTGCGCGTTCGGGGAAAACAGGAAGGCAGGCAGGCAGGCGCGCGGGCATCAGCAAAACGGTCAAATAGGCGGCGCCACAGAGACAAGAACCGTCGTGATCTTGACGCACGGCGGGTGGCGGGTGGCGGGTGGCAAGGCAAGGTCTTGACGCTGGGCTGGTTTCGGGTGGCGAGTCTTGACGCACGGCGGGCGGCTATGATGTTTGACTTTTCGCGCTGCGATGTCTGACTCTTCGCGCAGTGATGCCTGACTCTTCGCGCGGTGATGTCTGACATCTGGGTGTCTGACTTTCTGTTGTGATGACCAGCATGAACATTTGCCTTCGACCACGAACTGGGATGGCCACAAGTGGGCGTTTGACACTGCAGCGGAAGGCGTATACCCGCATTCGAATTGTCTGGTGTCTTGCCGCGCTGGCCAAGTCCCGTTCTCCCTCACAACGTGCCCCACTTGGAACCGTTGAGCAGCAGCAGTACTAGTATAGCAATATTACCACCATTCGTAGCACAGTCGTCGTCATAGTTTTAATAGGTAGTAGTAGCAGTGGTAGTAGCAGTAGTAGTAGTAGCAGTAGTAGTAGTAGTAGTGGCAGCAGTAGTATTTGTAGACTAGTAGGTGGTAGTAGTTGTAGTAGTAGTAGTAGTAGTACTAGTCGTGATAGTAGTAGTAATAGTAGTCGTAGACCACTACTGCTTCTACCGCTACTGCTGACCCGAATCATACCCGCGAACCCTTCCCTTCGAATCATACCCGCCCTCAAACCGTAAAAATACATATATATATATATATATATAGTGAAGCTAACATGATCTACATCGACGGCATCCGAAAAACCCGGTCGTCACTACTGAGACTGCCCATAAACTACACTGGTCGCTGTTCACCAGCATCACTCCCAACCCCAGTGCCCAATGTGATGTAGCCCATAGACGGTTTAATGCCTCAACGACATTGGTTCTTGCCATGCCAACCTTTGCGGCCGCCTCCGCTTTCAAATCGGTGGATTTTGGCACACGCTGTTCACTTATTTGGTTCGACGGCCTTCTCCAAAAAGGTCCTGGCAGCTGACGTACCCATCGACACTACTGCCCAGGCCGAATGACCGAGTGATGCCTTGCATTGCAAGCCGAAGCTCTCATTTTTTTTCTCTCCAGGCTTTGTACGGCGGCGACAGCTTGCTGCCTTCGGACTGCGCTGAGAAACTTTGCGATTTGGAGCTACTGCAGGCAGAGAAGCAGTTGTGGCGCGTTGTGGCGGTAGCGATTTGGAAAAGCCGATTGCGCGTTGGCTTTCAACCTTTGAGGTTGAATATTGCTCAGCCTGCCACATCCCAAATTGAGAAACGCAGAGGCTGTGCACGCAGAGCATTTCGCCCGCCTTGCGGCTGAGAGGCTTGTCACGCAAAAAATAGGACTTTGCTGCACCAAACAGAAGATGCCAATACGCAGGCAGCTGACCAAGGTACGGCGCCTCCATCTTCCGAGATCCTAACAGCACACCAGCTCAGCGAGAGGCGAGACGGGTGGGTGACCTCTGGCAACACTGACCCCTCAGCTGTCGGCGGCCAAGCCTGTAAAGGAGATGAGGAGTGCTGGGTACGTTTGGGCGAGGCAGTGCTGCGCTGTCGGCAGCTGGCGCGGCAGCAGCTTGTGAGCGCCTGGCGGCCTGTGCTGCAGGCACATATCACGTGTCGCATGTCGTGTCGGGTTGGGGTTTCGGAGTCTAAGTTTGAAGAGTTCTGGTTGAAGTAGGCGTTCAAGTGCGTGCAGAGCACAAGCTTTGTGGGAAGTTGATATCCAAGGCTGTGAAGGTCGACCTGGACGCCTATGCTGATTTAGCCACGGGACGGCATGTCGGGACAATTATTTTCCCAGATTTGATCTTTAGCTTCTCGCCTTTTACCCGTTCGGTACTCCTAGGCTGTCGCGCCGCTACTGCCCGAGTCGCCGGATCTTTATCTTCACTTTAAGCAACTTCGGTTGGCATAGTCAGTTTCTTGCGCAGATGAGGCAGGTATCAGCTGAAAGGACATCTCGTT